TAAATATCCAAAGCACACTGAAAGAATGTGCAAAGCTTCCATTTTCCTTCAAATTTTTCTTCCCTTTTTTATACTTCCCTTCCTTTGTGTTGGTCTGTGACATAAAACTTTAAAGCTGAAGTGGGTGGTTTTGCAGGGCACTCCATAGTCACATTCTTCAAATAATAACATAAATAGAAGCTCTTTATGCTGGTTGTGTTGAAGTCACACACCCCTCTGCAAATTCTCCTTAGATTCTGAGGTTGGCTCACTGCACCTACATGCCATGGTGCAGAGCCATGCACCATGGCTCAGTTAAAATACATATAACTCCAAACAAATGTCAAACTTATTAATAGGAGTTGTGTATGTGATAGTCCTGTTAAAGGACGGTTCTATGCGTTCTTGCAATTTAATTGACTGGTTTAAGATGCAGAAGGAATATCTCATTTTAGTTTATACGCTGCTCTTGTTCCATTAAGCTGTCGTCTGCTGCCTTTCTTTTTGTTCTGTGCTTCTGCAGCAGCTCAGATGGAAAGAATATTAAATTATCAAATTACATTTGTTAGTCTTACAGTATGTGCACTGCTTTGTTTAATGACAGCAGTCATCTGTTAATTAAAAGAAAAGCGTAAAAAATTAGATTTATATGCAACAAGATGGCTAAAAATCGTGGAAAATAATGTTTCTAGATTAAGGGGCCTTGTTCTGACCTTTAGAGTTTAAAAAAAAAACAGAGCAGATGGAAAACGCTGTCAGAGGAATCTTTTTTCCATGTTCACTGTAAAGCTAGTAAAAGTTTATAAGGTCTGAATTCTGCCAAAAAGCTCACACGTGTTATAAATACCTAGATGAGCAGTTTAATACAAAACATATGAATATAAACTACACGTCACATGCTTTTTTTTTTTTTTATTTCTATGCATGTAGCTCACATGTGAGCCCACAATCTATTACACCATGAGTTCATGCTCCTGCTCTGCTCTCTTAATGTTTATGCACCTGTAGATTCTCTCCCTACTCGTCATTAGACCTGTTTCTATGCCCTCTAGCAACTTCTGTCACGTTTAGGGTGGAACCAACCTGAGAAAGTAAACTGCCTGTGATTGGCTACTTTTAAAGAAATCCCTCATGTTTTAGACAGTGCTGTTTTTTTTTTTTTTTCTTTTAAAAAAAACCCTTAATTTAACCACCGTAGATTACATCAGGTAACAGTACAGGACTGTATTAAAAACAATAATAAAATAATAATAATAATAAATGGGCAAGACTTTATAGATTTCTTCCTAATTTCGGCTAGTAATACTAGCAAAGCATCCTTATATTAATAGCTGTGTTACCACCCAATCTGTACCGGTAGCACGATCCCTAACATTGGCTCATTTACTCAATCAGATATACATCTGGGTCGCCCTCGATTTTACTTTGTAAAAAATACCTAAATTACATTTTTCTCTCCCTACATGTAGTAAGCGTACTAAACTATAATGTTTTAAAGGTTACTAATGTATTCCCAGAGAAAATAAATGTATTTAAATCCTTTTTTATCACTCGTCTCTACCGAGAATGGAATCCTACGCTACTTCCGGGGTAAACTTTTTCGGCTTTGGATTTAAACATAAATCTTGTCTTTTTGAGTTTTCTTGTTTCCTTTCATGTTAACCTTATGGTATATAGTGCGTAATCTAAAGAAAAAAAACCCAACAAAAATACAGATAAACAGGGTTTAATCCTATCTTGCTACTCTGAGCATGTCCAATGATGACGTCAGACAATCAGTTTAACGGAGAAAGTGTTAAGGTATCAAAATGTCTCAGAAAAGTCACCAATCATTTTTTAGAGATGCTGTATAGCATTGTTTATTGATTTAGGAACAAAAATTGACATGAGGGACAGGTACACGTGCAAGTAGAAGATAATCTATAAGCATATAAAAGGCAAGAGAGCAGAGAAGGAGCATTAACTGATGGTTGTAATTTACAGGGGGACCCATGGTCCTGCATTGGTCTGATTTTTCAAAACTGTATCTGCCCACACTCATGGAGTTCAGAACCGAGATACGACCCGTTATCCGCATTTTTCCCCATTTAAAACCCAGCCGGGACTACATGGACCCGTATATAATAAAGTCTGATATGACCCGTCTTCGCAAAGTTTACACACAGCTGTTCATAATAACGGAGGCCGAAAAGAACATTGCGTCACGCTCACATCCAGTGCACTCACACTGGTAGAATTTTGAATTCATAAAAGTTTAGCATTTGGTTGCGTTATACAGTGGGACGAGAATTTATTTAGTCAGCCACTGATTCTGCAAGTTCTCCTCCTTAGAATAATAAGAGATGTCTGTAATTTTCATCATAGGTACACTTCAACTATGAGAGACAAAATGAGAAAAATAATCCAGGAAATCACACTGTAGGATTTTTAAAGAATTAATTTGTAAATTATGGTGGAAAATAAGTATTTGGCCAACAAGATTTCTGACTCTCACAGACCTGTAACTTCTTCTTTAAGAAGCTCTTCTGCCCTCCACTCGTTACCTGTATTATTGGCACCTGTTTGAACCCGTTATCTGTATAAAAGACACCTGTCCACAGCCTCAAACAGTCACACTCCACACTCAAACATGGCCAGGACAGAAGAGCTTTCGAAGGACACCAAGAAGAAAATTGTAGACCTGCCCCAGGCTGGAAAGAGTAAATCTACAATAGGCAAGCAAATTGGTGTGAAAAAATCAACTGTGGGGGTAATATTAAGAACATGGAAGACATACAAGACCACTGATCTCCCACGTGCTCCATGCAAGATCTCATCCCGTGAGGTCAAAGTGATTATGAGAACGGTGGGAAAAATCCCAGAACTACATGGAAGGACCTGATGAATGACCTGCAGAGAGCTGGGAACAAAGTAACAAATGCTACCATAAGTAACACACTACACCAGGGGGTGTAGTGTGTTACTGAAATCCTGCAGTGCCAGACGTGTCCCCCTGCTCAACCCAGTGCATGTCCAGGCCCACCTGAAGTTTACCAGAGAGCATATGGATGATCCTGAAGAGGATTAAGAGAATATCATGTGGTCAGATGAAACCAAAATAGAACTTTTTGGTAAAAACCCAACCTGTCGTGTTTTGTAGGAAGAAGAATGCAGAGTTGCATCCCAAGAACACCCAACATACTGTGAAACATGGGGGAGAACACATCATGCTTTGGGGCTGTTTTTCTGCAAAGGGGACAGGAAAACTGCTCCATGTTGAGGGAAGAATGAATTTATAATGAGATTTTAAGCCAAAACCATCTTCCATCAGTGAGAGCCTTGAATATGAAATGTGGGTGGCTCTTCCAGCATGGCAACGAAGGAGTGGCTCTGTAAAAAGCATTTCAAGGTCCTGAAATGGCCTAGCCAGTCTGCAGACATCAACCCCATGGAAAATTGTGGAGGGAGTTTGAAGTCCATGTTGCCCAACATACATCCCTGCTCTAGAGGAGATCTGTGTGGAGGAATGGGCCAAAATACCAGCTACAGTGTGTGCAAACCTGGTAAAGACTTACAGGAAACATTTGACCTCTGTCATTGCCAACAAAGGTTATGTTACAAAGTATTGAGTTTAACTTTAGTTATTGGCCAAATAATTATTTTCCACCATAATTTACAAATAAATTCTTCAAAAATCCTACAATGTGATTTCCTGGATTATTATTTTTTTCTTTTTTCTTTTCTCATTTTATCTCTCATAGTTGAATTGTACCTATGATGAAAATTACAGACCTCTCTCGTTATTCTAAGTAGGAAAACTTGCAGAATCAGTGGCTGGTTAAATACTTTTTGGCCCCCTTTACATGTTAAGAAGCTGTCATAAAGAGCAGATTTTGGTTGGTTTTGATCAATCATCCAGGAGTTATAGAAGTACATTTTAATTTTTTTTTTTATCAAAATGTCAAGCAAACCCCTCTACCTCCTGAGAATCTGAGAATTGTGTAAAGGCATACTGTGCAGAGGAAGAATACCAGCAGTGTTTGTAAACACACCTTCAACTCTGCTTTGCTGCCACCTAATGCTGCTTTCAGTATAGCAAAAACTGTTGAATTTCTGAGCTTTATGAGAAACAAATAAAATGTTTTTATAATCAGAACATTTATAAAAATATATATTGCACAGTAAATAAGAACATTAATGTGACTTAATCAGACTACCATTTTTATGAACTCCTTTTTATTCCAGTTCACAACTATGTTCCTTATTATATAACTTGTTAGTTTCTCCTAATTATACAAAGGCAAATATCGTAGTTTGGACAATGTTCATATCTGAAAAAATGTAAAGGTAAACAACAGCTTTGCACTAATAACACTTTTTTTCAAGGGTTCTTTGGTATTTGAATGTGGTATTATGACAATGTTTGTAACTTAAGAAAAGTGGTTTCAATAGTGCTGTTTAAAAAATAAAAAGTAAAAAGATTTTCCAATTCTGAATTCTCATATAAACTTGGCAAGATTGATTCATATAAACAAAGATTTTACTGTGACCTTATAGCCCCAGTTAAATACCATAAATGTATTAATTTGCTGTTAATTGTTGATTTATACTATTATCAATATCATACATACCTGATATATAACACAGCAATGTAATTCCAGTAACCCCTAAAAAGCATACTTAAAGCACTATTCCTTTGAGATCAAAGCAGATTGAAAAGAATCGATTCTAAATTTTGAGAATCAGAATCAAATCAATTATTGTAACTTGAACCAATACCCAGTCCTAGTCCTTCAACCACAGATCAAACAACTCCACATCTTTCTAAAAACAACATATAATTATAGTCTAATACACACATAAATATACTCATCAAGCCCCACATTTTGAAACAATAGTGGATTTTATTTGGTTACCACAGTTTATGCTAAAGCAATAAACTCTGCATAGTATACCTTTGGAGTGTGATTTAAACAGAATGCTTTTGAGCAATGTTGACAAGCCGAACTAACTGTGAGGACTATATGTCCTTCTTTTCACAGCCTGGTGGTCTCCACTAAATTAGAGCCAAGCACTTACCCCCACCCAACACCTCTTCCACTTAGTCGCCACCCCTTGGGTGCCCCTGTTGATCCTACCTCTTTGGTTTCCACACTTCACCACACTAACCCCTTTTGCTGCACACAGAGTACACCACCCCCCTTACCCTGGTGCAACCCTTTCTACTCCCTCCTACAGCACAACCCCTTCTTTACAGATATGTTAACCAATGAGCCACTAAATTCTTCGCTACCTCCTTTGCCTTATCTTTCCAGCTCCCGGCCCCCCATAACTGATCTCTTTCCAAAGTCAAGTGATTCCAATCTGACCCAAGATGACGCATCAGTAGGGGCCACTGACACTACAATGGAGGCAAAAGGCAAACTTGAGAAAAGACCACTTCCTCCGATTCCCTTGGAAAGAGAGAAACCCCTAATTGAAAAATCAGCAAACCCCTTTATGTCTGTTGATGAGCTTGAACTGGGATCACAGTGGGAAGAATCCTTTGATGCATTTGCAGCTGGGAGGCTGCAGTCTCCCGAGGACCTCACCATGGAGTACAGAACACAGCAAAATACAGTCAGTGACCATCCACTGGAACACGACCATAATAAAGGGGAATTACAATCCCACCCAGATGCTGATGACCGCACAAATGTTAACGACACTCTATATCATCAGCCTGGGGACAGGTTTTTCTCCAATGCACTTTCAGTCCCCAGCCAGTTAAAGAATAATAACACACATATTATTGATACTTTCCCGCCATTCCTTGAAACAATTCCAGAACAAAGAAGCTTTGAAAGTGATGACTCAACCTTAAATACTCCCACTAACTCTCCTGAACTGTGGGATTTCCAAGTAGCTGCACAAGACAAAAATATTCCCAATGATTTCTCTGACACTAACGTCAATAAAGCTCCCTTCAACATCTCATCTGCTCAAATCAATGAGAACAACAGTTCTCCAGACCCCAGCTCCTCCGGGCTCGGCAGTTCAACCGAAGAAGACGGCCTCTCCTGCTTTTCATCTCAGTCTGAGAAGTTCTCTGCGGTCTCCTCAGAAGAAGCTGAAGGCAACATCCCACGCATCAAAACCCCATCTGATTCAGCTGTGGTTGAAAATGTAAAGACCTCTGAGTCAGGAGACAGTCTCAATGACAGGTCAGGCAATCAGCCTTTACTTGACGATGCCAATCAAACGGTTATTCAGCAGGAGGAGAGTCCCGGACAAAAGGTTGTTTTCGACTTCTTGGACGAGTCTCTTCAGACTCCACCACCAACTCTTATGGCATCTGAACAGGAAGCAGAAAGTGAACATGAGGACAATCAAACACCTAAAACCTTTTCAATGAGCCCTGATCTGTTGTCAACACTACAACCAACATCCCCTCTACCTCAGCAATCAACTGATGGCTTGAAAGAAGAAAGCACAGATTTGACTGTGGAGCCGTCTGATGAGTTCAACCCTTTTTCTAAGAATAGCACTGAAGGAGTTATCCCCGGATCTCCAGAGGATGAATTTTCTTCAACACTACCATCAGTACACGTCACAACCTCATCCCCTGATGTCAAGCACGATTCCTCGGATTTGACGATTGAGAAGACTAGCTCAGAGGGGCAGGAAGCTAACTCATACGCCCATGTTGATTTGGGGATTTTTGATAATTTCCTCAACATCAGTCGCATTGCAAGCACTCCTGAGCAGGACAGCACTTTGTTGCCAGTACAGTCTGATTATAGTAGCAACAGCCTACTCCATAGCCATTATTTCAGCACTGACTCGCAGGATTATCTGACCTGTGACTCTCAACCGCTCTCCAAATGGTCCAGCTTTTCAGAGCTAAATGGAACCCTGTTCTCAGCCAACTCAACTCTCTGTGTTGAGATGAATGATGTTAAGGCAGACCCCGTTGAGCCTCTAGGGACGGACAATACAAATCTATCCCAGACTTCCAACTTTGAGATCAACCAGAACAAGACATTTGAAGAATCCCTCTTTGGGGATCAAGGCAAAGCAGTAGATCTGGAGTCAAGCCTCACAGTGGGGGATGGATTACAAGGTTTGCTTGCCCCACTGCCAGACATGAGCTATAATCCACAGATCCTCAGTGAAGTAGGGGAGGAAAATCAGGATGACTTCCTCCTAAAATGTCCAGAGGGACAACATGCTACACTACAACGCTCCCATTCCGAGGGGACCCTCACCCCTGCCATTGAACAACAACTCCTACCCTCTTTTGGAAGTGATCCCTGCACAATACAGGAATCCTTGTTAGCTCAACCAGGCCCCAACTTTCCTTCTCCTAACCCCTTTGCTCCTTCTCTAACTCCTGAAAGCAGTAGCTTCCATGTAGCGCTCCCCACCCACCCTCCCCTTGCAACCGTTTCAGCGACCGTGCCGCCGAGCTCAGCACAGGGTGCCGTGCCAAACCCAGATGTGACAGAGCAGCTGCAAGCGGCAAATCCGCCGTGCAGGTGAGGTCACACACGCTCAACGCTTGGTGAAAAGGTGGAGGGCGATTTCTACCCTTCTTCTGGAGACTCCTCCTGTGCCTCTGCTCCGCTTCTGCCTGCATCTATTCTATTACCACTTCTTTGTGGTGTGATACTCCATGTTTCATGTATCGGTGTGAAAAGGACTCTTCTGTAGGGTTCTTCTGTGTGTCCTGAGGTAACAGGGGAGGGGAAACTAAAGCCTCAGGCCAATTAGCGGTTATTATTTTACCTTTGTCTCTACCACTCTAGTTCTCCTTCACGCACACACATACACACTGAACCCCCTCTCCACAGGGACAGCCTGTGTTCTCACACAGCAACACTATTATGCCAAATACATCAACCAGAAATCAAGCTTTCTACACGAGGAAAAAAGGTGTTGTTTTGTCATTTCCTTTTCACCTTGGGGTAATAACACACTTAACACAATTCTTCATGTTTGATTACACCTATGCATGCAATTATATCCTTCATTTGAGGATTAATTTTCACCACTTTCTTCCAGACATTCACACCTGTTTACCCTGCTTTGATCCTAATCAGAGTGAAGTAAAATGTTATTTTTGATTTATTTATTTGGTTCTTTAATCTCTGGCATCATATTGGAGGTCACAAAAAATCTACTATGTTTTAATATAGATTAAACTCTCATTAATTACTCTGAAGACACTCGAGTAGTGGCTATTAACTGAAAGTCACTACTTCAAGGTCTGCAACACAGGAAGTAGTCTTCCTGTTCTTTATAAAGGCATTGTCTCATATATTTCTTCATGTTGTAACATTGGAGAGCTGGCATGTGGCTGTTTGCTCTCAGAGAGGAAGCCACAGTTTCCAAACAGCCATTGTTTCCAGAAGGAAACATTGTGTAAATGTTCTGGGTGATTTCACAATAAACGCTCAGATTTTATATTTTTAACCTGTTATGGCAGATGTCCAAATGTAAAAGACCTCCAGTATGACCACCAGACTGGTATTGGGCAGGTGATGGGTGATCAGTATTTGAACAGACTAAATGACTCACTGTGTGCATTGCTGTGTATGCTTTGTTGTTGACTTTTGAAGCCCCCACCCGGTGAAGCCCCTGACAACTGCCATGGTGGCTGAGGAGAAGCGGTCAGTGCTGGCCACGGGCCTGGAAAAGCTAAAGTCCACCATTCACCCAGGGAGGAGCAGCCAGATCACTGAACAGGAGGCAGACAACAAGAAGGTAAAAGACAAAAACAAGAAAAATAAAACAGTCATTATCTAATATTGTCTTGGTAATTGTGCAATCTTTTATATTCAATTCAGTTTATTTATAGAGCGCCAATTCACAACACATTTAACCTCAAGGCACTTTACAGTTCACCAAATCATACAGTCAAAATGATCCAAAGTTTTCATTATTTATCTAAGGAAAACCAGTTGATTGCATCAACTCATTGACTCAAATGCAATCCCTCACACTAAGCATGCTTGTAGCGACAGTGGAGAGGAAAAACTCCCTTTTAACAGGAGGAAACCTTCAGCAGAACCAGGCTCAGTGCGAGCGGCCATCTGCCGAGGCCGACTGGGGTTCAAGGAGACAGAAGCAGAGATACAAAAAGTAACTGTAAAAGGCGGCCTTTCCAGGAAACACACAGCCAGGCAGATGAGCTTCCATGTCAGAGGATGAATAGCACATCCAGCCAGTCACAGTAAGAAAAACAGGATTACACTGAAAAACAGGCCGATCTTCAACATCTATAAACAAAGGTGTTGATGGCAACAGCACAGCTCTCTCCAGGGTGGTGTCACAGCATCATATATAGTATTAGCTGCACACTCTGTCATCTATTCAATTAGTTTCTACCCGCAATTAGACTTCACCACTCCTAAAGGACATGTTCGCCGGTTTTGGAGACTGCTGCATTACAAATCGGCCAATGCTTGCACATATCAGTCGATACAAAAAAACCAAAACACTCATATTGGCCAAAATGATCTGCCAGCCAATGCATCGCTCTGTCTCTACTACTTTGTTGTGAGTCTGTCACAATAAATCAAATGAGTACATTGCATTTGTAGCAAAGTGATAAAATGCAAGGCATTGTTCTGTAACCCTAATCTATTTATTTTGTCATGTTTGAAAAAGGAAAAATCATCAATATAAACTGAAACCTTTTACCATGTCTCTGTCTGCTCTCAGTCTCTGACAGAAGGAGCAGGCTCGTACTACCACCTGACTCACAGCGAACTGGTGGCCCTGCTGGTGCAACGTGAGGCCGAGCTGGAGAGGCAGAAGGCCGAATTCGAACGTCAGAAACTCTTACTGGCCAAGCGGGAGGTGGAGCTGAAGAAGCTTAAGCCTCAGGTCCGAGACCTGGAGGACTACATTGACACCCTCCTGGTGCGCATCATGGACCAGAAGCCTACGCTGCTGCAAGTGCGCTCCAAGTTGAAATGAAGAAAGAAAAAACAAATGAGGATGCGGCCATTTTAGTTCATCTATTCACTCGAAAACCCCCACAACAGCTGTTTTAGTCTCACTGCTCCGCAGTCCTTTTTGATACAGGGGTTTATGCACAGAGAGGCCATGTTTTCTAGCCGGCATGCTTCCCCGCTCTGAAACAAATCCTCACCAGCAGGTTTTGTTTCCCGAGGCTGTGAATGTAGCGCATCCTCAGGTTGTCTTCAGGCTCAAGGAGCCTGATGGAGGGTTCCAAACCCAGATGCTTCCAGTTTAGCATCCTGATCTGAATCCCTCTTTCCACTGCGCCTATCACCTTTGTCTCCTCGTCACTAAAGAGTCATAATTATAGGTTTTAAATCCACAGCGGTGAACACTTTACCAAATGTGGAAATTTAGAAATCTTCTTGCTTTGATTTGTTCAATAACAACAGACTGTCAGATCGGTGCAAGGCATTTTCATGACAGATTTCCTCATTTAAAGGCAGAAGATGTCTGTTTCCTCGTGTGCCTAGAAACTGCTTGCAGGTTTTAACACTTATGTTGAAACTAGAGGTCGTTATCTTTAATTTCAGACAGGAATCCGCAGGTTCTGTTTTCATTTTTCATAAAATCGACTGTTTGTCAGAACTTTCTTAAAGGGAATCCCCACCTTCTGCACAGTGCTCAATTCTAAAAGGCAAAGGCAGCAGAGCAAGCCAGTGAATTCAACGTCACTGCAAGTTGAGGCTTGACCACAAAATATGTCAACTGCAGGCAACAATAGGGAGGAAAAGGAAGGAAATAAGCCTGAAATCATTGTAATGCAGTGCTTTACAGCACAAGAAGCCTTAAACCGTTTCTGTTTGTCACGTTACATCTAATAATCTCCAGTTTTCTTTTAATTAAGACTTTTTGTGACATATCAGCTCAAAAAAATTAATAATTGTGAAATGAAAGGAAATTTGTACTTGCTTTATATTGAAATAAATAAATCAGAAAATGTTGCCGTTAATATTTCCTCTGCCACCTTTACCCCGATACTTATAAATATATCCAGTCCAACCAACTTCCCCAGATGTCATGATTTGATCTGGATTTTTTTGCATGTTCCGGGAGGGTTTATTTCAGGATTTCTCTATATTTCTCTATATATATAGCTCCATCAAAACTAACCTCTGATTAGCTTCCATTGCTTCCTCTTCCCTCACCCTCAACATAATGCTGCCTTTAGTAGTTTTCCATCACTTACGCAGCCGAGCTCTGATGCCTTTGGATTTTTCTTACATGTAACCGAGTTCAGGGGTTCAATTAAATATGCCCCAACAATTTAAGATTTTTTTTTTTTTTGGATAAAATTTAGAAGCCATATGAAATTTTCCTTTTACTGCACAATTGTCAACCCATTTTTTGTCCCCAGTAAATGCATTGTGGATATTTAAAGGGTAAAATACTTTGCTGTGGCGCCGTATGTTCGAGAAATTCAGTTTGAGTTCGATGATCAATGTAAGAGAAATATACAAAGTTTATTTTTTATTGCCTCCTCACTTTTTTCTGGTAATACTTTCTACACTCTGGTGCAGAGTTCTCTTACTACTATTATTATTATTATTATTTTATTTTTTTTGACAAACTGTAAGCCAAATGAGACGGATTAGCAGCTGACTTTCACCTGAACATCACTGAGAACGGATGTGAATGTTCAAAAGTGTTCTTAAGCCAATAGGTTTCAGTTTTTAACACAGGATAAGTGCTTGTTTATCTTAAGCTCCTCCCCCCAACGATGTAAACAGAATTTCACTGTCAGGTGAAGACAGTATCGTTCGCCATCTAGATCAGGCCTTTTCATCCTTCCTCACACATGTGCGTTATTCACACAGACTGCAGCTCATTGGGGGGGGGGGTGCCTGCGACATGCCGCTGCTTGACTTCCCTCCCTCAGTGTCTCTCTGTGTTGCACATCCTAATCTGCTCTGGCATGTGTAGCGCTTTCAGGTGTCACAAAGGGACTGCAGTTTTCCTGCATATACACGTTTTAAAAACGCCAAACGCTGCCTTATTTCATTTTTTTTTTTTTTTTGGTAATTTTTTCTCTTTACAATTCATTTATCTAGCACTTATTTTTATTTCATTTTCAGGCATTTCTTGAAAACCTAAAAACCATCTGTTTTGCTGAATTCTATTGTTTCTGAATATAAGGTTATTTTGCTTTGTGATATTGGTTAGGTCACTGCACAAAAATCAAATGTATGCATACAAATAGAAAAGGAATAATTACAGTGATTAACTGTGAAATGCCAAAAAAAATCAAATGTAACAGCCTTTTGAAGCTTAATCTATAGAGCTGATTGATTCACCGTAAAGTATTCTGATACGATGCCACCTTAAACAGCATTCGTGGATGTTCTTGCACTACTTATTCGATAGAATAACTGCTGTACCTGTCTTTGTGATATTGGTATAGTTAGATCAACTTCACGTCGTATTGCACTTTCTAATCGCTCTATGGTTAAGAACTAGGCCTTCTTTCCACACATTCATGATTTGCCAGTGAGCTCAAAGCATCAAACGTAAAAAAATAAAAAAAATAAATCACCTTTGTTGTCACATTCGTTCAGCGGGGTGATCTCGATATGAAGGGTTGAGATGATTCTAGAGGAGGTGCAATGCTCCCAGAGTGCAGGAACAACAACTTTCTTTCATGTCTTCCGTTTGGCGAGGTTTTTATTTATCTTTGAATCGACTGTGTTTTATCCTTGTGATGAGTGTGATGCTGGTGGAATGTGCTCAGTGGGGTATGTAAGACTGGAACGTTTACAATACGTGATGCAATTCTGTTTCACAAATTTTGTATATTTAATAAAGAGTATTTTGTGTTTCCTGCTCACCGTATCTTTTGTTGTCATTTTCTTTAGATTTTGAAGGTGCAGTAACCTTTTAGTACCTGGTTTTATGCATCTTTTGATTCAGTTTGAGGATTTATTTCGAACTTCCATCAGTGATGGGGAATCTGATTAACCTGAGGAAAAGTGGGAGGATTATCCAGATATTTTTTTAATTCATATCCTTTAGCTTAGTGCTGTGCAGCTCTGCAGCTGCAAGTGGCTCACTGTAACTTCTACAATTGCCTCATGTAATACAATAACAAATGAATTAGATTTTTTTTATATATATCAAATATTATAATAGAAGACAATCCATGCTCCATCGTCATAAAACCTTTTTACTTTTGTTTCTAAAGGTTTCCTATATCAGATGTACTAAAAGAAAAATATGCTGATTTGCTAAAGGGTTATAAAATATTTGTGGCCAACTACTTCACTCAGCCAGGCATGGGGCAAAAGGGCCCTTTGAATTTTTAAGGTTGCAGATCTCTTCTTTAGATGAGACCAACAAAAAACAAAGAAAGATAATACTGTACTAATTCACAACACATGTCATCTCAAGGCACTTTACAGAAACAATTCAACCAGATCATACGGTCAGATTGATTCAAAGTTTCTAAGGAAAACCAGCTGATTGCATTGACTCAAAGGCAATCCCTCACACCAAGCATGCTTGTAGTGACAGTGGAGAGGAAAAACAGCCTTTTAACAGAAAGAAACCTCCACCAGGCTCAGTGTTGGCGGCCATTTGCCAAGGCTGGCTGGGGTTCAAGGAGACACGAGCAGACATACAGAGAGAAGCAGTGATGCAAATGCAACTGTCAACCAACTCCACAGGCGGCCCCTACAGGAAACAAACAGCCAGGCAGACAAGCTCCGAGCCAGCTCCCACATGAGAGGACAGAGCACATCCAGCAGATCACAGTCAGAGAAACAGGACTACACTGAAAAAACAGGCTGAGTTCAAACATCAATAAACAAATGTGTTGATGGTAGCAGCACAGCTGATATTTCTCTCCAGGATAGTGTTGTAGTCAAACAGGTACAGGCCAGATGAAGCTACTCACAGGCTTCATCTGGTAGTTGGCTCCACAGGAGAGGATAGCTAAAAGATCTGCCTCCATTTGAACCATACTGATGGTAAATAAGGTGATCTGCCTGTGGATTTTCTATTTTTGCTCTTATAATAAGACATATATTATGCATTTGAAATAAGATATATTTTTTTTTTATTATTCTAAAATATGCAAATTTTTTTACCTGCTTAAATCATGGGAAAATACACTTATTTCAGGAAAAGTTGAATCACTTATCATTCAATGTTGTTTTTGTGTTGATATCATCCTAATGATCCATGAGGAGCTGACCCAAAATATTTTGGTTTATACTAGAATGTTGAAAAAAAAAAGGGATATGATTTTTAGCATTATAGTGAATCCAAGGATGGTCCAAACAAGCAACACAATGACTTGATGAAAGAAAAATAAATTTTTTGAAATTCCCAAAGTCTGCAATTTAGAGAGACATGCTGGAAAGGACCACAGGCGGGATTCAAACCCAGGTTGCCTGCATGGATCGTGTGCGCTAAGCACCACCAAAACACGCCCTGTTCTGAAATCTGTGAGGGGAAAGATGTCCTCATACATAAATGTATTATTCAGCCATGATGTGGTAATCAGCTTATTTCCAATCAGAGGAGATGAAGGGATGCATGAGAAGTAAAATACTTTACAAATACATTTACCTTGCCTCACAATTACTTTTTTGTTGTTGTTGTTAAAACTGTGTCTATTTAGTATTATATTTTACACCATGTCTTCACATGGTTTAAAAATGACTTTTAACAGCACTTTATTTACACAATTCAAACAATAGAATAATTATTAATGTAAACACGTGTCAGTTTAAAATCACTATTAAGGTAAAAGCAAGTGTCAGCTAGAAATCATTAAATAAGGGGCTCTTTATATTATAATTCTCCATCATCTGACACTGTACATAAAATTTTGTTAAAACTTCACAACTGAATAAAATCCTCCATGTTCTCTGTGGCTCTTTGGAAGTGAAACTCCAGCCCTATTTTGGCTTTAACATTACACTTCCACAGAGCCACAGCATGAAGGTGAGGTCCCTCCTGCAGTCTGTCTCTGCGGGACAGGTTAATGGCCATCTTTGTTTCACTGATTAAAAAAAATTTAAAGTCAGGCCTTAGGCTTTTTTTTTTTCTATTCTGGCAAACTCTTATAAATAAATGTAAAGATAAAAGTAAAAGATGGTGTAAAAATGGCAAAGCCTCCACTAGGGGGCTACATTTGCTCTTTAAAATCAGATTAATCTCTGTCCATCATTAGAATATTTTATCCCATCAGAATATACTGGCAGTATGATGGAACGAACTTGTTTAATGGTCAGTTTAGGTTTAAAATAACAAAAATATTTAACAGATCTTTTAATGGGGGGGGGGGGAATACTCTGTTTTAATGTGTTGAGGATCCCAAATCTTCTGATCAAGTGAATTGGGGAAAAAAAAGCTATTCATTATATAGTAGTAAAGTAATTAAGTGCATTTTAATCAGATTTTTTGTGTTTTAAAAATGCTTTTTACTTTTATTTCCTTTCTTCACAGATATACAATTGTACTTTTACAATTTTACTTGAAACTCTGATACATTGTTACTCACCATAAATTAAAATATGATCAAAACTTATCACGAAAAGATTTATGGGGAATCGGGATGTGAACAAGAGAAGAAGAGCTGCACTCCTAGTTCACAGTCCTTACTGGTTGGTAGTGGAAATGCAACAAATTGCATTTTGAAATTTGAAAATGTTTATTTGGACATAAGGCAAAAAAGTAAGCAGAAGAAATCCGTATATACACATCTATAAATGTATAGAGTAAAAAAAAGTTTAAGAACAGTTTGTAAGAAGCAAATGCTTTCTTAATCTTACTAATTTCTACACACCATATCTATTTCATATAATGTAATACATCTTTATATACTTCTCTATTACACAGGAAAAAACAAGGAAAATTATGATGATATCTATAATTGCTTCACTGGTAATGTCAGAAAAAAGCCCTTCCTTTCAGTTAGGGTCTTGCCAAAATGTTAATTTGTGCCAAAATGTGCCTCTTAAAAAACATAAATATTTTTCCTTTTATTTCTCTACAGGGTTGAGAAATGTTGAGACATATCAAGCAGTGAAAATCCTTAAGGTACCTAAAGGGAGGAATGCTATTCAGATTAT